TTCCCCCAAAATACAATGATATGGGTTATTCCCTCCCCATCTACAGGTCTTTGCTCAAATATGACTTTCACATCAAGGATTTCTCCAACCACCCTTTCACGAAACTGCAAGCCCTACTCCTTACTGCTTCCCCCCTGTATCCCTTTTCACCATCTGACATTGGGTGCCCCTGTCCTCATCTTCCATTACAATGGAAGCTCCATGAAGGCAAGGGTTTCAGTCTGTTTTGTTTAAAACATTATCTGTTGTGTATACCACACTGCCTGTCACACAGTGAGCCCTCAGTTCATATTTGTTGAATGAATGGATTGACTGGATGAACCTTCCTTTACTTCACCAAACCTATTCCCAACCCCCATGTTCTTCACCTTGGTAAATTAGTCCACTATCCCCATCCCCCCATCACCTGACCAGGGGCCCGGGAGTCATTCCTCACACCTCTTCTCCATACTCCCACATCCAGTCAGTTCAGAATGAAGGAGAACGGGTGGGCCTTTTTGTTCATCATTCAGAAAGCATGGCCTAGAGCAGGTGCCGGGGCACAGTGATGTGCAAAAGCAGCTCTGGTTCCGGCCTTAATGGAGCTCTGTCTTGTCCGCCTCGTGAGTCCATCTCCCCTCCGTGCCTTTGTCAGGTCTCTGCGTCCTTCGCCTGGATGTGCCAGCTTGCCCGCTGGGCTCCTCCAGCCCCGCCTCCCTCTGCTGCCTTATCTGCCTCCATTTCCCCAGGTGGACACTTCATGCTCTAGTCATGCTTTTCATGCAGACTTTGCTTGTTTCCCTACCTGCCTCCTGCTCTGGAACACTGTTTGTTCTTGCTGATCCCATCACCTCCGGCCAGGCTAGCCTGTCCTGCCTCTGTCACAGCTCAGACATCCAGCCTGCGCTGAGCGTCCTTCCCGTGAGTCTGCAGTGGGCCTGGGCTGTCTGCCTCCTCCATTAGACTGTGAACTCCTGGAAGGCAGAAACCATATTCTCATCTCTGCCTTCAGCCTCCGCACAGTGCAGGCCACACAGGGGATTCCCAGGGCGTGGCTACTGGACTGCGGAATCTTGGAGAAGTTGTTTGCCCTCTCTAAGCCATTTCCTTATCTGCCACGGGGATAACAACTCCTCCTGCGGGTTTTGTGAGAATTCAGTGAGCTACGGGAGCCTTGCACACGAACCAGCATATAATAGGTGTTCAATAAAAGTCTTTCTTTTTCACCCCCTGCATACATAGTTCAATATTTCAGAACGAAATGTCACTGATCTCACCTGTGCTTCATTCTCCACTGCTGGCCTGCACCAGGAAATGGAGCCGCAGCAGCTCAAGTGAGAGTTAGCTGTAAGGAAGAACTTTTTAAAGGGAGCGTCATTAGTATGTAGAAAGGTTAAGAGCAGAAGCTAAGGAGTCAGTCTGCTTGGGTTTGCCACATACGAGCTGTGTGACCCTGAGCAAGTTGTTCAACCTCTCTGAGCCTCAGTTTCATCATTTTTAAAATGACGGTAATAATAAAACCCGCTTCATGGGATTCTTGAGAGAAATCGGTGACATTCTGCACGTGAGGCCCCCTGGAACAGAGCCAGGCACATAGTAAATGCTCAATAAATGTTTACTCTGGTGAGCTGAAAAGCAGGAGGCGGATGTGGAGTCATCCCCTCCACACCCCTCCAGCCTGGATACTTCCTCCTCCACCTCTTCTGCCCCACCCCCTCCTCCGTTGGACAGGGTGTCCTCTGTGGGCTGGAAACCCCACAGAGAGGCCTGGGGAGGGAGCCCCATTCTCAGCAGCCCTGCTGAGGGTCAGATTGTTTCAGTTTCTGTTATTGCCCTGATGTGTGGGGCTGCTGGGTGGGTCAGGGCGGGGCGGGGTGGGTCAGCCAGGGTGAGTACCCGGAAGTGGTGGCTGTGCTCATCCAGAGGGTTGGCCTGGCTGGGATACTCTGTCGGCTGAGATTGTGCAAACAGGTCATTGTGCAAACACGTCCCTGTGTGTGACCTCGATTGTGTAAACAGGTGTTTACTGGAGGCTGCCTGGCTTGGGCTGCCAGCTTACAAAAAGCATCCGAGCTGTTGACTCAGAAAGAAACCAGAATCTAGACATTCATTCTTCCTCGAACACCCCCCGCACTTTCTGCCTCCCAGCACAGGCTGTTTCCTCTGCCGGGGGTGCTCTCCTCTGCCTCCATCTCTACTGGTTGTAATTTTTTTTTAATATATTTTATTGATTTTTTACAGAGAGGAAGGGAGAGAGATAGAGAGTTAGAAACATCGATGAGAAAGAGACATCGATCAGCTGCCTCCTGCACATCTCCAACTGGGGATGTGCCCGCAACCCAGGTACATGCCCTTGACCGGAATTGAACCTGGGACCTTTCAGTCCGCAGGCCGACGCTCTATCCACTGAGCCAAACCGGTTTCGGCTACTGGTTGTAATTTTATCCATTCTTCAAGGCTTTCTCCATAAGCTTCTTCTCAGTTGCAGAGTCAAGGCCTTTGATACACCCCTGAAGTCACTGGTCAGGTTTTACCTTATGACCCTTTCTAGACTGAGAGCTCCATGGGGACAAGGGTCTTCCTTTATTCGCCTTGGAAGGGGTAGGAAACTGAGGCCCCGAGAGGGAACGTGACCTATCCCACGTCACACAGCCAGCTTGCAGCAGCTTGGGCTGTAAGTCAGATCCCTGCACTTGCTGTCGCAATCGCCACCGCTCCCTTACCCCCAGCCGCCTCTGACCCTGGGTGTTTACTCCAGGCACTGGGTGGGCTGGGACTCCAGCTGGAACCTGAGGGATGGGCGGGATTTGTACAGAGGAAGGAAGGGAATTCTGGGCAAAGGAACAGCAGGAGAAAAGGCATGGAGGCCGGGATGGGAAGGGTATGCATGGAGGCCACTAAAGAGGCAGGAGGAGGAAGCGCAGGCCTGGGAATGCTGGGGTGGGGATAGGTAGGGGCAAGCCTGCATTCCAGACCCAGAGATGACATTGACCCTGCACGACCTTGGGCAGCCCTGCCTCTCAGATTCCCATCTCCCCCTTGGTACTCCACAGATAACCCAACCCAAACGGACCCCCAACTGAGCTCCTCCACATTTTCTCCTGAAAACCTGCTTTTCTGTCCTGGCGAGTGGGATCTGGAAACCTCGACTTGACCTGGACTTCTCCCGGCCCCAAAGTCCCGCATCCGGCCCATCGCCCTCCCTGTGGGTGCTGCCCCTCTTCTCCCACCTCAGCGCCATCGCAGCAGTCAGGCCGCCATTGGTGTTCTTCAGGGTGACCCGGGGCCCTCTCCTGATCTCCCTGACTTTGTCCCTGGAACACCACCCTTGCTATACTCAGCCGGAGAGCTTCTTCCAAAACACAGGTCCTAGCGGGTCACTGTCCGACTGAAAAACCTCCATTGGTTCCTCGCTGCCATGAGATAAAGTTCCGGCCTTCCTCGTGGCCTTGGGGCCCTTCAAAACCAGCCCCTAATCCTCCTGATGCTGGGGTCTCATCTCTCCCTACTCCCTTTCCCAGCCTCCCCTTCCCCTTCCTTCCAGCCATTCCATGTACCATCACTGTCCAATCATGTATGTGCTCCTTTTCCTGGCTTCAGGTCTTTCCCACACTGTTCCCTCTGTTTGGGGTGCCCTTCTCCTTATTTCTGTGTCTTTCATCCTTTAAAAACCCAGCTGAATGCCACCTC